TTTTTTTTTTTTTTTTTTTTTTTTTTTGGTAAAAAGGAGGGCCAAAGGCCCAGCAACAGCAGAAAGACTACAAAGGAAGAAAGCGAGGTCTGGAGGTGCCAATGGCATCAGCAGCCAGAGCATCAATAATAGAAGTCGGAGGCAGGTCAAAATAGTTAATGCCAGGAGCCAAATCAGCACACATTGCAGCCAAGGCATCAGCAGCAGTATTCATCTCACGGTAAATATGCTGGACAACACAGTAAAAGCAACCGTTTCATGACAGACTAATCATGGATTAACTTGGGCCGGTTCATGGGTCATGTCTTTTGTGTGCGGCCATAATCAAACTCAGTTGGTCCATAACCCATCTAATTTATTAATTTTCTTTCTTTTTTATTTTGCAATAACCCCCTCTACTTTCAGAGTGATTATAGAAAACTACGGTAGTATTACCACGTGTTATAAACTCCCTATAATATAAATGGATATTTATTAAATGTACACGTATACAAAATGTACACGTGACCATACTACTGTAGTATTCTATAATTCTATTAACTTTCAAAGATTGATTAATATATATTAATTTCAATCAATCATTGTTGATATAAAATTTTCAGTTAAATAATCAATCATTGTTGAAAGAATTGTGATAATATTGATAAGGTGGGATGAATTTGAGCCATTTATAACAAAGAAAAACTAGCCGAGAACTTGGCAAGCACTTGTATAGTTTTGGGTCAAATATTCTTCTTCTTCTTGGAATGTAATTAGAAAATAAGGACCGTGTTTGTAAAAGTTCTGTTTCTTAAACAAAACAATTTGAATCATTCATAACAAATAATAAAAGTAAAATTTAAGTAAAATTTAGAAAATAAGGATCCATGAACATGAACCTTGAGCTCCTGGATTTGAGCCGTTGACCAGACCAAAAATCTTGCAGAGGTAGCACGGAAGGGAGACTAATTGGAAGTTTAGAATGGGAGGCAGAACATGGAAGAAGACAAAACAGAGAGAGAATTGGGATGGATGAGTGAGAAGACTCAGAGCCGCGTTTGTTTGTATAATGTGGACTCGTTCTTGAGGCGGCCTTTCTTTATTGTATTTATCCCCACAGCTTTCTGACAGTCACTCCTGCCAAGTTGCAAACTTGGAATATTCAAGCCCAATTGCGTTTGTCTTGGTTGTTGACTTTCTTGTATTGTATTGTGGAAAAATACCAATCCCATTTCTCCCTCTAGATTTGTGGGTAAATAAATCTCATTTTTACTCTCGTGTATTTAACTCTTTAGTTTTACATTTTAAACTTAATCTTGGGTAATTTAAGACGTTCAGATGAAGTCTTCAATTCTGACCAAACGGTGGTTGTCTTTCAAAATATTAATAATTCTTGTAAGGCGTGGTTGTTGCAAACCAGCCATCACCATCCTTAATTAATTAGGTTTGAAAATTAATTAAGCAGGATTAGTTGCATGTTTAAAACAGTATTTTAGGGACTAAATTATAAGCTCCCCTGAATCCGAATGCCTAGAAAGTAATAGTATGCATGTATAATCTCGTTCTTATTATGTAACAATTGTCAGAACCATTTTTCTTTTTAAATTTGTATATTGCGTGCAAAATAATACACCATGCAAATTTTAATTTGGAACGCGTCATCCACGTAGTGAGAAAAATTGATTTTTCTGTACCAGAAAAAGATTAAATATTATTTGGTGTGAAAACATCGATGAGTCGGGCATCTTGGGTGGGAGGGTGATGGATATCGACAGGGTAGGGAGGCTTATATCGGACAAATTATTTATTGTTCTTAGAGTCATGCGTGATTTTCAAACTAATTTCAATGTCATTGTTGGAAAAGAGTAAAGTCATACGATAAGTTTGACATTTAGCCATGGAGTTTGGTACTTCATCAATCTAAGCTAACAGCAGTCAAAATCTCATTAAAGGGTTGGGAAAATCCCACAGAAAAATTGAATGGCGAAAAAGAAAGAAAAAAGCCCTTGAAGAAAGAAAAATCAAAGACACCAAAATACAAGTCCAACAATTGGAAGAAAAAAAACACATTCACACATAATTATTGGATTCTTAGCAGGAAGTGATTAAATATTCTGTCAAAAACGGTCCCATGTTTGTTTTTTTGGTCAAAAACGGTCCCATGTTTTGTCCAACCCCCCACCTGCCCTGGTTTCCCTTAGACTAGGACACCATGAATGAGTTGAACAGAGTTTTCCTGCCCGTTAGGCAACGGTAGAGATGTTGTCGTTGTTGGTTTAGGTGAATTTGTTTGGGCCCAAATTTAGCACGCCGAAAACAAAAGCCCACACCATTTCCTAGGCCGCTTGTATCAGACGACTTCAAGCCCATCAGCACGACCCAGCCCATTAAACGAGTGGACAGGCCAAGGACACGGCCCAAAATATTAAAAGGCTTGGGAACAATAGGAATCAGAAAAAGCTTGGGCCTCGAAGAAATCCAAAATTAGGCTCAAAAGCAAACTAGACTCAAACTGGCCTTCAAAACGAAACAGTCCCACGTGATCCCTGACTTGGAGGAGTCAATAATTTCGGCTGAAAACTGAAAATAGAACAAGAGCAGGTATAAAAGAAGAAAAAATCTAAAGTAGCTTGTTGCCAGAAGATTAGAACCCGCTTAGTTTATCTAAAAGATATTCTGATATTTTGGAGGAATGCCATTTTCGAGGATAAGCAGACTCTGTTTTTATAAAAAGAGAGATAAGCGGGAAACAGGAAGCTGTCCAAAAGCTGAGAGCCAGCCATCTCCAAAACTCCAGACCTTTTGCAGAAGCAGGTGGAATGGAAGAACAGGCATGGCACTCCATCAAAAATACAGAAGTGGTCACCTCAGGAACTAATCGTTGAGTGCTTACTCGCCAGAAAATGGATAGAACCCCTGTTTATTTCATTTTAAAATTAAAAAGATCTTTTGATTACTTGCCGCCCATTCTCGGAGGAACACTTCCTATA